GTTAGTACAGGGGAATGTGCTCCAGCCCTGACACGTTGGTGGCAGGTTCAGGTAATGATGAAGTGTGTTCAGCACTGGTGATACTCAGGTGGGCTTAGAAATCATCCTAATGAGGACACACTGCGGTCGAAGGGGTGCTGACGAAGGCACAAAACGGCACAGCGACCTCTTATAAAGCCCAGATAGTGATGAATCCACAGGATTCAAGGTGCTGTTAGAGAGAGAGGGGAATATTCTTCAATCTTATTGTTTCCAGGTGCTTCTGCCAGTTTGTTCTGCCCTCTTCAAGTTTGATTTCCATCTTTGGGGTAAGACACAGCAAATCTGTTTCTATCCATGCTGTTATCTCAGTCAGTTACTAGGATAATAATCAAGCCCGTAATTCAGCTTAAAGGATCTGGAGGTCTCTGTGCTGATAATACGATGCTGCAAAACCCTTATCCATGGTGGCAGGCTAAGCTCACTATTAGCGAGCGCTCCAGCTTCTAGTATATATTGTTTTTCTAGTTCTAAATGCCTGATGATAGATTTTATTGTGCCTTTTTTATCTTGTAAACCAGTATTTCTTTCCTCTAGCTCATTAAAAATAATTGAAAATTGTTTCCGAAGTAATTTATTGCTCTTCTCAATGCCACCCTTCAGTTAAAATACAGTTGCAAGTATCTAAAATACTGTAGACGGTGTTCACAAAACCTAATTTCCTAATGCTGTCTTCAGTTAATAAAGAGATGGGGGGAAATGAGATCTCAGCCTAGATAAACACGCAACTATTTTTCTTGCCCTTCCCTTTCACCTTCCTCTCCCTTATTTTCCCTTTCCCTTGGTTCCTCAGGAACAGTACAGATAACCCATGTCGTCAGGACGGGAGGAGGCATGAAGATAGGCTTTGGTCCAGCATCATAATGTTTTTTTTTGTTTCTGTATTTAATTTAGTGTCAATGACTTGATTGTCACCTGAAATCACATAATCTTATTTTATAATACCTGTTCTCCATGTCTCTTCACCGGTTATTTTATAGTGAGAAATCAGGCGTGGTTTTCATAAGTGCATAATAGAATTCACAGGGACCCAGGGGCTGCCTTGTGGAACTGCTTGTGCTGCTACATGATGTAGACACTCTTACTCAGGTAGTCTTTAAGGCTACATCTGTTTCCTTCAGCCACTTGCAACATGGTGCAGCACGTTTTTGTGCTTATTGTCATGAAGTACAAGAGCAACATTCTCCATCTGACATTGAGTTTGTGCAGCTGGTTTAGCTCTAGGTGATACTGTGGTGGACTCCGATGGAGAGCCTCGCTGAGCCTCCATGGCCAGTGTTCTTGACTGGAGTTGGCGAATGGCGTCACAGTATTCCCTTATTGTCGCTAATTACTTGCTATGTTTACATAAAAAAAAATTATAAAAATGTCTGAAATTGGAAGCCTTGCTGAGAAATATGACTATCTGATGACAGCTTTACCACAAGAGTGTGCCATGTGGTACAAATCTGGCTGTATTATTATTATTATTATTATTGATACTGTGCTTGTAAATCATAGAACAAACACTCTGTCTAGACTGGTAAGGCTTTCCTGCCATTTGTGAAAATACAGCAGTTTGTGGTTGCATTCCTTTTAAAAGCAGTTGTTAAGCCTGCAGATTTGGAACACATTGTTACTGCAGTAATACACGGGAAGTTACAGTACAAAAATCCCTTGTTGACCTGCTTAAATTAATCTCTCCAGCATTAGTTATTTCCTTATTTTCAGTCTGAACATAGCAGAGTTAAAATGTATATGGCATATTTAAGTGGCAAGTTTGGTGCTCATAAAAATTCCGTGCAGATTGAGCTAAAATGAAATGGTTTTAACACAAATGAAAAGTATTTCTGCTCTGGGATGCTGCTGTGCGTATTGCATGTATATATGTATGTGTGAGTGACTACTGAGAAAACTGCTGTGAAAGAAGATCCTAGCCCTAGATTTAACTCTCTGGAGTATTTGCTGATGTTTGAAGTTGGGCTTTTGTATCTCCACCATGCTAAATCTTTATTCTGTTTTAGGAAGCCTGTTTACTTTCCTCAACCATTTTCTAACCTGCTTTTCTCTGCAGAAATCCTTTGAAATGGTTTATAAACACACATACTGAATGTCATTTTTTTTTCTCATGTAACCATGTAATCAGTCTAACTCTCTAAACTCTAACAGTTTCGATCTGAGTTGTAACCAATGCTCTATTTTTCCTTGAAACATCAAAATATGGAACAAGGAAACAAGGATTAAGACTTTTTTTGATTTGTTGTCCTAAGTGCCGTGCTTCAGTCACACAAAGATGTCAGGTTGAAATGAGGAATTTAGATCTGCATTCCCATTACATGTCTGTTCCAATGAGTGCACTTCTGTGTGGCATGAGAAATCTCCTTGGCTTTAATTGTATTGTGAATCATAATCTTATGGTCTGTGAGTATAAGCAGAGCTTGAAATTTTCTTATCCGAGTGGATAACAAGTAGAAAGCTTTTAAAGGATGTGCCTTTGATTCCTGCAGAATGTAGGCTTCAATAACTATATAACACACTCCCAGTTCAGAGGTTAACTATGAGCACAGCTTATCTACAGCAAGATAAAGAAAAATATCATTCATGGTTTCCCAAGAAACCGTGAAATCAACATTTCTAATCGTTGCTGCAAGTGCAAGTTATGCACTTGAAATGTCCTGTGCTATAGATACATGGATTACTTATAAAACAGTTCTGCAGACTGACGTTAGGGTAAAATTCAGGATTGCTTTGTATTGGCCAAGTATATATTGGCACGTATGAAATGTGTTGCTGGTTTCAGATCAACGAAGCTCTATTAATACTGCTAGAACAGAGGCTGTCTTTATATTTGTTTTTTTGCATGGTACTTAGCATAGTAAGGTCTTAAAAACTTAGCTGTACTGTGTTGCTGATTGTTGCTTGATAAGCAACAATCTGTGACAGATCTGAATACAAAGGTCTTAAATTTTTAGTGTATTTTTCTATCTTGTGAAATAGCTAAATTAAGTGGCAAAAAGCATTTGAAAATAAAAAAATAGTGTTTTGCTGTTGATTTAAAGAATGTTTATGTGAATATGTTTTTAAAAGCTCAGTTGTAAAGTTTCCATGGAGACCTAAGCCACAGAAGATAGCTGTATCCTAAAACACAAGTGTTTCTGAGAAAATAACATTTTCATGAACTTTGAGGTATTTAAGACTGTAATTATACTATTCTTAGTTGCTGCCCTTTCTGCCGTCCGATGAAAAAGTTCCATAGCTGAAGATGACACAAATATTTTGAAATAAACCCAGTAAAGTCTGCGTACTCATAGGTTCAGCCAGCCCTGGCTAGCTGGCATGTCCAAAACAGCTCATTCCCGTATCAACCGGAGCATGGCTGGGATGTCAAGGGAAGGGATCGTGGCCTTGTGCTCGGCCTCCGTTAGGCTACGTGCAGGGTCCTGCGCCCAGCCTTGGCTCCCCCAGGACACGAAGAGGCCTCGGGGCCCTGGAGCGAGGGCTGCCGAGGTGGCGCCGCCCCTGTGAGGCGGCTCCGCCTGCTGCTGCCCGCAGGAGGCCTCCACTGGCCTCCCGGCTCATACGGAGGTGATCAGCAGTATCTACGAGCAGACGGGCTCTTTCTTGGATGCAAGGGAAAACTTAAGGATGATCAGGAGTTGGAACTGGCTGTCCACAGAGGCCGAGAGCCTCTGTCGATGGAGAATTGCAAAACCCAACTGGATAAAGCCTGGAGCCAACATGGTCTGACCCTGCTTGGAGCAGGAAGTTGCGCCAGAGACCTCGTGAGATCTCTCTTTACCTGGATCATTCTGTGAACAATTGATCCAGAGTTTGTGCAAGATGAATGTTGGTGCAATAAAAATTTAATTCATCTCTACTGAATTGGATCTCGTCCAGTTGCATTCCTAGCAATTTTCCAGCTGCATTTTTAAAGCTGTGGGTGGCACAGAAGAGTAGTAAACTATGTTTAGCCTCAGGGATAAGCAGAAGAGATGGGGAGAAAAAGAATACAATTAGTTGCAATAAAGGATTTTTTTTTCTGTTTTGAGTGTCATAGGGCATGGAGACTCAACTGTCAGGCTAGTTGGCACTGGGGACAAGAGGATGAAGAGTAACAATGATTCTACTCATCTTATGATTACTTCTTCATTGCTTCATCTTCCACACTTCTTTCACTAGAGAAATAAGATTATTACATTTCCTGTGAGGTGTATCTTGAAGGAAAGTATTCAAAACATGGAAAATGTTTTTTTTTTTTTTCACAAATTAAATGTGAGTAATGTGACAAGTTCACTTAGAAATTGTCCATATTAGACCTACAATCAACTAAGAATGTTTCATAAAGTAATTTATGTTTCAAAGGGTCTTGTGTCCTCTTCTATTCTAAAGTAAGAATTCCCTGTATGTCTCTACTATCAGGTTCAGTATTTGTATTGGCTGTAGCATTATAACAGCTTACAGTAGATTGCATAACAGAATTCTGAAAATGTTTACCCTGCTGGAAGTTACAGGGCTTTCATAAAACTGGTAAAACCTGTGTCATCTTGAGAAATATTTTGATAATATTTCGGATAATTTTTCCCTCTATCTCTGAAAAAGACTATTGGCTGATTATTGAGAGTGGTAGTCTTGATATTTGTTCATCAAGAATAGATACCAACATGTTACACCTTGTATTTCAATTTTAGGACAAATAGATTTTATTGTATACAACTATGTATGTAATAGAATATAAAATATAGTTCTTCCAAATTATAATCAATCTTTTATTTTGTATCAAGTTTGTAGTGATTTTGTTAGATATATAAGCAAGTGTCCTCTCTCCAACCGTTCTTTCCCATTTGCATTGGTAATTAATGGTAAAACCTTTAGAATTATTTTATTCTTTTGCATCTTGAGGAAGATCACATCTGGCAATAAGATCAAACTGAGATCTAATTTGCTGCAGTGTTGTTCAACATGTCATATTTGTTTTCTTACAGTGAAAGATTTTTTTTAAGACTGAACAGGAATGGTTTGCCAAAGTGTCCAGAAAAGCCTGAAAGACACTGTTCTCTCTTTGTGGTGAGTTCTTGCCATTCTCAGTCTTCTTCATGCTGAGTAGATTAAGTTATTTTATTACTTGATTCAGTGCTGTTCTAAACTCTGAAATTGCTATGAATATGAAATGTAAAGGTTGGCTGAAGTATAAATTTGATTTTTCTTTTTTTGTGGCAATGTATGGACCTCATTTCTAAACTTGCAAGTGTGCACATTTTTTTCCCTGAGGAGGTCTAGCCTTTTTCCTTCTTGTACATTTTTTATACCCAGAAGATTGTTTCTTCAGCATTCTTGGTACTTTGTGTACTAGGATTTGCCCTAGTGCATTGTTGTTGTTCAAGGCACACAGTAAGTCTTTTGAATCCTTCCACTGCCCAGTTTTGCTTCATTATAGTATATTCTAGCCCAGTTCACATTTTAGAACATTAATTTTGAGTATTTTTTCATGACCTGCAGTTTAAAATGTTACAGGGATAACTTTTTAATGCTGTGTAAATGAACAGTGAAGTCATTTATCACTTTCATTAGCAGGAAAGCAATGTGGAAATATCTTTTTAAATGCCGCATTTTAATGAGAGGTCAGAAATAATGAAATTCTGATTTTGTGCAGGATTTGGGTAGCAGTGAACTCAGGAAGGACATCTACATCACTGTGCACATTATCCGAATAGGTGGGTATTACAGACTTGAGTAGAAATTTCACATTTGGTAGGTGCAGGGCAGTAAACAATGGCAGCAAGAAACCCTGCTTGAGGTCAGTTTTGGGCTCTGTTGAACTAGTTAGACTGTTGAGTAAGTTTGGAAACAAAAACGCTTCTATCCTGATGTCAAAATTCTCTGGAATTTCTCTATGCTGTTTTGGCTACTTTTTAAATTAATATATAACGTCTGGGGGAGTATGTTTAGATGTGAAATTGTTCAGATGAATTTTATCTTCTGCCTGACCCTTCTGAAAAGAAGGAGTGTTAAGGAGATCTCACATGAATTTTAACCCATGATGGTGCAAGTAATTACAATGTTCTCTCAAATGTAGCTGAAGAGATTAAAAGTGTGTGTTTTTTTGTTACATATTTATTTTAAGAAGTTGTCTGGGCTGTACTGATCTGAAACAAATTTTAAGTGTGAACTCCTAGATACATTCAATTTTCTCTGTAAAGCATCTCTGCAGTTGTAACAGTGCAGTACTGACTATATTTTTTGCTGTTCTTGAAAAATATATTGGTTTGAAATACAGTAGCTCAAATATATGCAGACTCCAGAAACAACTCGCTACAAAATAAGCAATATTTTAAAGCTTTAAATATTTTTACTTGCATTTTTATGCTGTTTTAGTGTTTCATTAGAATACCAGCTACTGTGCTTTGTTTTTATTAGTAAGGATGGGGAGATAATTTGATAGCCTCTAATGTAATGCAAGTAAATTTGGAGAGAATAAATGTTTCACGGGAGAATAGAGAGTTGACTTTTTTTTCGTACTGAATGCTTTTCAAATATATTCTCAGTCAAGATTATAAGTGAATCACTGAAATATTAAAAAGTTAAAATCAGATTTATATGCTGTGTGATGTGAAGAAGAGCAATTACCCTTGGAGTTTCTGTGGTGCCTGGGAGTCCTGGGGGGAGGCCAGTGTCCCGCAGCAACCGCAGCCGGAGGTTTTTCTTGTCAGAAATGAAGACTTTGTGGGAAAGATGCATCGCTGCCAGTACGCAATTGAATAAAATGGTTAGAAAGAGGGCTGTTTCATATGCCAGGATTGCAATGAGAGGATTGAGCAATTGTATTTAAATCAAATAGAAAAGGCTAAGAAAAATACTTTGTTTCCAACTCTGTTTTCCTTGACTGCCTTCTTTCTTTCTTTCTTTATCATAGTTTATTTTTCTGCCCTTTGTCATCATTCCTCCCCATCTTTCATCTCTACTTTTGATCCCTGCAGCTCCTAATCACCCCCTCGTTAGCTAGTTGCCCATTTGGAGGCACCACTTGATTACTAAACTGTAATGGCTCAATCAGAACACCTCTCACAGATCACGGGGAGGAGGATCAAGTGTTAAGTAACGTGTCATGTCTGAACTCAGAATTTAATTTGGTGGTGTCATGAACAGGGGCTTCAGAATCACTGGGTTTTAGAAGGAATTGCCTATTGAGTGGAGGATGCGAAGGATGAGGAGTTTCTTTGGCCTGAGACCTTCCAAGGTCAGCACATGTTTAGTGACCTCACTTTATCTTTTGTCCTTGGAACAGGGCAGAGGGAGGAGATTTGCAGGCAGTGCTCTTGGGTTTGTCTGCTCAGACCCATCTCATCGGGGCTTGCACTGCTCTCTGCCTCCCTTCTGTGGTTTCAGAGGGAAGCGGTTCTGTGACTTACCCATATCAAATGTATATTTTGTTTGGCAGGTCGAATGGGAGCTGGAGAAAAGAAAAATGCTTGCAACGTCCAGTACAGACGGCCCTTTGGCTGCGCTGTCCTCAGTATTGCAGATTTGCTGGCAGGAGATTCAAAGGATGATCTCGTCTTAAAAGTATACATGTAAGGAATGGTCTCTTTTTAATTTTTACAAGATCTTTGAGTCAGTTTACATCAGCAGCAGTGGTTTTAAATGCAGGATGAATAAGTAGCTGTAGCACTTTTATGTTGAAAAAATGTGATGGAGTTTTCTTTTTTTGCCACAGTTCTTTTTTTTGTCACAGTTTAGAAATTTCAGCTAGTTCTACAGATTTTTTTATTAAGTGGGCTAATAATGAAAGAGAGGACTAGATTCTTTTAAATCTTCTTGTATGTTTCAGCATTTGTCACATCCTTGTAAGAGCTTCTGGAGCTCTCTTTTTATGGCAACATGAAGTGCTTTTAAGACTAGTTTGAATGCCTTGTGCTGCCTAAGTAGCTACTGGAAGTACTTGATGACTCCAGAAAAACACAGGCTTATAACTTTTATGCAATAAAGTGATTATATAACTGGCATAGCAAAAGTATAAAAGACAGTACAGGAGAATGAAGAAATCAAAAATAGATTTGTAAATGAATAGTTGATTAAATAGTAAATGTTGGCTGATGCTAGGCTGGAATAAAGCTCAATTTTCTAGCCGTAGCAACAC